CGTTATCCTTCTAGCTTTTTATAACCCACACACCTAGAACAGATTGGAACCCGTTCAGCGACTGGAAGCAAAATGATTAAGACGCACAAGCAATGATACAATGATAGATCAATGACAGCAGTTTCTCTTAGTATCCGTGCGGGGGCGTCCTTTGTAAGTTCTTCCATAACACTGCTCTAGAGATCACATATCACTAGCGCATCCATCCTTTCTAATGCGGACTCCTTTCCCGAACAGTGGCTGGTAATCAAGCCTAATCAAGAAGTTAGCCCGTTTAAGTAAACGGCGAGTCACCTCTTTCGTACTATAGTGCAAAATTATGAGTTGACTTGGCATATTCATACTGAGGTACGGATACCTCTACTAACACTGTTCACATGGTGTTTGGGTAGGGTTCTATAGGACTTCAAAAGGTCTAACAGAAAGAGAGACTCCACTGAAACATCTGAACATCTGCACTGATCTGCACAGGTAAGGTTAAGTCTACGTTAAGCCATTGGCCCTTACAGCTGGAGCTTATCCTGGTTTAATTTCTTTAGCGTGAAGCCACTAGGAGTACTTGTACTGCCCCTCTGGATGGGATGCTGGTCTATCGCAGGGGTTACCCCGAGCGCTGTTAAATTTCAATGTCAGCGTGGTTGGAGAGAGGTACTGTGAAAGTGAAGTTTCTTGCCCAAGAATATAACACAATGTCCCCGGCCAGGTCTTGAACCCGGACCGCTCGAGTCGATCGGAGACAAGCGCACTAACCATGAGGCCACCGTGCCTCCTGCCTCTGCTTAGGAATGCTTACTGTTTCGCACCCAATCGAGTTCGCATCCCTGAACTCATTATAAACTTTCTATTTCGAGGTCGCCTTCACCTTCAATGGATTAAAGGTCATTAAAGAACGAGAAATAAATATGTTTTGTGTGATTTTGTGTCATGCCCACAATGTTGTCTTGTTGATTATTGTTCGGTGAAAGGAAGAGAAATTATAAGCTCTTGATCTCTAGTTGAGTCGATGTGTGTGCGAACTCGGTGGGTGCAAAACCTCCAGCTACCCTTCTCAGCCCTGTCTCGTAATTGTAATGGCCTAAGGACGTCACTCAGAAAGCAACGACTGATCTCGGGTTATAAACAATTTCCAGCCCCTATCTCGCCGTATCTGAACACCACCTTAACGCTTGAATCATGTTTAATCGTGATTTACTGAACCTCTCTGGCACTGTCCACCGTCATCTCCAAGTCTTACAGTGTACTGACAAGATCGCGTTTGAGACTGAGGCAAACGCGAGTGTCATCAATGGTGCTGGAATTCAGCTATCAATCAGAAAGAACTCGAGGAGGAACTAGGGCTCTTGGGTTTCTGGCCCCGTTTCTGATGCGCGCGGATGAACAGTTAATCATTTCCATATTAAAAGACAGGATATACGAGGATTTAATTTGTAACAACTTCTGTTCTCTGCTAATTTATGTTTATATTGGCTTTGTCGTTTTGAACTATTTTCGGCTGTCAGCATGACTACAAATTTTTCATGATCGACTAAGTCTTTTAAAAATAGAACTAATTATCACTTTGCTTAAATTGGTCCTTAGCTCGATGGCGTCGATGCATATGTGAGAATTATTTTCTCTTTTTTTCGTCTAGTAAAGTTTGGAGATGTGAGGAAAAATTCAACACGAAAAGGGAAGTGTTATAATTCTAGATGAGGAATTAAACTTGGTAAAAAACATACTGTATAATTATTATATGAGAGACGGCCTTCGAACTCGTCAACTATGACCTCGATTATGAAAATCAGTGAAAAATCAGAGTAATTTCAGCTTGAATTATTTAAGTAAAATTCAAACAAAGTTTCTTTACTGGCTGTTACAAATCAATTCCACTTAGATGGAATAGCACACGAACTGAATTGTCCTTTAAAACTTGAAGCTGTGTACTCGCACCCATCAGTACATTTAATGATGTTTAAGTTTTAAAGTCGTATAACGGTGGACGCTATATTGTTCTCCTAGTCTTCTCTGGAATTGCTATTTCCAGTGCTTTTCCTAAACCGTCCTTTGGACCAGTAAACACCGCTATTTTGAGTTCGACATTTCTATGAGGTGATAGTCGACGAGGCTGAAGGTCGCCCAAAATGTTTCCTTTGGCACGACGACGTTATTTAATTTCAAAAAGGCCGCCATTTTGGATTTCTTGGCAATTTCCTACGATGACAGAAACTACTAACTACTAACCTGGCCTAAAGGTAAACAAAACTAATAAAAGGATATTCAAATGTTCTAAGACAGGTAAAAACTACAGCAGGAAAGGTGAAAGTTCTTATAGACTGCTTTAAAAATTCAAAATTTGAAAAATTGTCCCCGTCACAATATTGTTGCATGGCAACATCAACTTTGGAATACTAAATTGTTCTGGCTGAAATAAATTTCATGCAAAATCACAGAGTTGGTTTGTATTTGGTTGTATTCCTTAAATCCTCAAAGAGAGAATATGGGTCCTTTTTCTTTTACTAATGTTTACATAACCTTTTTTTTATATTTAAGCAGGTTATTAAATTAAAGTCTAAACTCCCTTGCATTCAGAGCTCAGACAGATTCTGCCTCTCTAGGGGTTAATGGGGCTGATTACGGTATCCTACAGAAAAGGCTTACCCCCATTTTTATTAGCAAGATCTTTTAAAATAGGTTTTACTGTTTTTGGAGGGCTTATACTGCCGAATTAAGGGGCTTATTAGAAAGAATTTTGCGTTTCAAAAATAGCTAGCAATTGGCTTATATTTAGAAGCGACTTGGCATCCAAAAAATTCTAGTTGCACCTAGAAGACTAAAACGACGACGTGAGACTCAAAACACATTCTAGACTGATCCTCAGGTAAATGTTACACTGCAATGGTCTCTAAAATATTGTAATGACATAAAATACAAAAACAGCTCAAACATTAGGGAATCGGAAGATAATTTACTCTTCCTTAATAGGCAAAGCTAAAGTTAAGCTCAAGAGCTTTATTTTCAGAAGGTCTAATTGAAAGGATTGTTGCGTCGAATATTTGAGGAGCTTATTTTTGGATGGGCTTATGATCTGCACTTTGCGATATTATCCCAAAGCCAGCTTTATTTCTCTTTAATTACAAAATTTCAAAGTAGACCAATCTTCGCGCAGTCAAGGCAGAGAATAAAGAGCCCGCAAAGTACCGTAATACCCCTACTTCAAAAACATGCACCGCTGAGCTATGAGAACTTTGATCGTTGAGTGACAAGCTAGGTGGTTGGTTGCCTTTGGAAAGTAATAAAACCACGTAGATCGAGCTACGGATTAACGGATTAAACAGTCCCAAAATTCCCAGAGCCGAGAGCTGGTGCTTGGTCTCCCTCAAGAGATAACACGTTGGGACGATGCTCCGAAGTTTCTTTAGACACTGGTATCGTCTAGAAATTACAATACTTTGAAAGAAAGCCACTTTGGCTTTACATAAAGCGTTTAACTGTCTGAGACGTTAACTGAAGAATTAGTGACATTTAGCACCACGGTTCAGTTCAGCGGAAACTTCAAACGGCATACCCACTGAAGGTCACGTGACCAAGCGCTGCAGTCACGTTTGGAGTTCTCAACGCCGAGAAGCAGGTTTTCATGTAAGTGATTTACCTGAACGGTTTTTATCCTAAAATTCTGTTTATACCACGTGCTCAGTAAGTTTTGAGGATAAGTTTAGATGTCATTTTTAGGCAGTGAGTGAAAGTAGGACTTTTTGTTGCCCTTTGGAAATCAAACATAGTGCTGTTGGCTGGAAATTCAATATGGCGACCTTTTCGACAAAATTAATTCTTTCATGTTTTCGTAGCTAAACCGATAAAGATCACAAACGTCTGACGCCAAGCGCCAAACGCCTAACCTGAAGCTGTCGTTTGCGGTTTGCCGTTAACTTGAAAACCTTGTAGCTAAATGTCTCTGCGTGCATACTTACAAACTTCAAAACGAACGGGGCCGTTGGTTTAACGAGCTGAAACTCTATAAGAACCACTGATTTGCACTATTGCCCGGACGTACTTCCAGAAAAATTGGGTGGGGTGTGCGGCTACCTTCCCAAAACCCTTACCCTATTTATGACCAAAATCTGCGATTTTTCCTACCCTATTTATGATCTGACTCAAAATTCGACACCCCAAAAAAACATACCAAATTCAAGACTAGAGAGGACAACCCATACCCTGTTTATGACCAAAATGGCTAAAATCAATTGCCCATTTTGCGCCCAAAACGGATGAAAAACCATACCCTTTGGGGTCGCACGTACCTATATTAGGTGAGTACCACACGGGCACTATTGACTGGTTATCTGTCAAGGAATGGTAATTTTTAGGGTAGACATAGTGCTTCTCAAAATAGTTGATGAATACTAACAGTTCTTGTATCAATACTATAGGCCTACATTTAACCCCAAAGGCCTTTCTTTGCTGAATGTTACCTCTCTTTTAAGCCGAAAATAAAACAGATATGAATAAATTTTAAAACTCCTAGGTCTGTTAAATTGTTTATAGCAGCAACTTGAACCGGTTCTGTTTCACGTTGTCCTACAATGTCATAAGTATTTGCATATTATTACAAGACTGAAATAGAGGGCCTATAACGAAAATCAACCGATCCGACTGCTCTATCCCAAATGATCCCGATCACTTTTAAAGTTTTTCTGGTGTTTTTTTGTTTTATTTTATTTCTTTGAACTTTCTTTTCTCTCAATCAGAATTTTGCGATGGAAGCCGGACGGTGTCAGTCCGTGCTCGGGCGATTGTTTTTTCTAAACATTTTTAACCGTGTAAATCCCTTATTTAATCAAGCTTCCTCAGGACCGTGGTGGGATAATATCGGCCCTTTTTTTGTACGGACCTCACTGCCTTCGGTCTGTTCTGTCAAGGTCTCGGCTGAATATAGATTCTACCGGGAGCCAATCATCAAGTAATGAACTTCTGATTCTACTACTGAAAAATTGAGTACTGAATACGAAACTATTCAAGTACAGTTGTCTTTTAAGTCTCTTTACTTCAATAAAGTTGTACATATGTATAGTAAACGTGGAGGAATAATTACAGCATTTTGAATATAGAAGAATTTTCCAGCAATATATATTTATACAGTCATCTCAGTCAGTTGAACTGCATGTTCAAGCGGAGTACGTGGTGTCTTAAATACAACTTTTTTGCCATTTATTTTGACCGGGTTAAATTCAGTTAAATAAGCTAATATTCCACTACACGATGCCCTGGTCAATTCGAAAGCTACACACCGCCTTCGTGGAAAAAAACGGCCCATTAATATAGATTGGTTTTGCCTAAATACTGCGTTGTGAATTGTGAAATGAAATAAAACGTCGCTTTTGCCTTAATTGATATCTTCAATATTCGACCATTCTTAGCTGAGTGACCTAGCCATGTCAAAAAGAACTGTCTTCTAGTAAATATTAGAAATTAGAAAATGCCAACATACTAGTACATTAATTCAAATGCTGCAATGTGATTGGCTGAGCTGCCTTATATTGTCATCTATTGTAATCCATCAAATAAGTTCGCTCGCACGCGATTGGTTTAAATGCGTCACGTGGTTGAATATGCCTCGTGTTGTGAAAAACATTGGAGGGATAATAAACAAAATAGTTCCCAACTGGCTTACAGTATATGCTCGGATGTTTATCCTTGAACATTATCTGTCCCTCGAAGCTTACACTTCGCTCTCGGAACACTGTTCGCTTCTCGGAATAGATAACGTTCGCCTTGCATACGGTCGGTGCGCCAACTAAAATTTGAATTGATCAATCGGGATTCAGCCGGCAGGAAAAACTGAGCTGTCCTGATGTCATATGCATGTTAGCGGGAAAAACACTGAAGTCGGGCGACTTTTCTTGCTGGAGAGAGTGTTCTAAAATATTCACGAAAAGGGATTTATAATTTTAAAACCAAATTAGATCGTAAAAAGTGAAAAATTGGAAACATTTTGTTTCTCCAAGCTTTTAATTTGGCGTCAAAAATTGGTCGCCCGCGCTCGGAACTCGCTCTCCGATCGCTGTCGCCAGGCAGCTTAAACCCAGAATTCTCAAGTTAAACATTAGAAGAGGCCAAATCAACTTTATTTTTTATTTCTTTATTTTTTGTTAGCTGCGAAGAAAAAGACTATTATCCCGTCGTTTCGGTGGGACAGCTTGGTTTTGGCTGTCCGCAGCCCCCGCACGCAAGGCGAGGACAAATATCCGAGCATACTTTGGCGCCAAATGGAGGCTACTATTTATTTAGCAGTCGTCTACAAAATGGCGACGTCCGCACGCGCGGGGAAGAAAACTAATCGGAAATCATTATTCGAAAGAAATTTAGTTAGAATTCTACTAAAGCAAGTAGATCATTCGCTTTCTAATTTTTAAATAGCGAAGATAGGTGGTTTCTGAATGTGGAGACAAGATTGAATTCGAAAGGCGACATGGCTGGAGTGAAAGGTCATTAAATATGACAGCTTTGATATAGAGTTTCTTGACGTAAATGCTACGATCTAAAATTATTTTGTTAGATAGGTCACATGACCAACAGCTCCGCAGTCTCGGCCATTACGTCGCCGCATTATTCCATATTAGCTGAGTTTTTGGGGTTGTGGGGGGCGTGGCAGATTTTGCTTTCGAGTTGATCGGAGCCTCCTATGGACTCAAGTCATTCGGGTGAACGGGCATCTTAGCGACGGCTTCATGCGTGTAAGCGCTTCAGGATTTGCTTGGAGGTGAATCCATCCAAGCGCGAATCTGGGCCAACTTTAGTGGCGTGATCTTCGTGGCGACGTTCATGCGACGTTTCTTTTGTCGCCCGCGGTACTTTACGCGCAACGAGCCAGAGAACACTCCCATGACGAATCGTTCCGCTTTGTCCCCTTTACCTTTTTTGCCAAAGACCCCCGCTCCAGAACTACCGTAGAACGAATCACAGCGGTTCAGAATGGCGTGATTGACGCAAAAAGAATTGCAGTAAGAATACCAGACGGTGTTCAAGCGTTTGTCAGCAGGAAACGAAGCAAACTGGATCTTCAATTCAAATGAAAATTTCGCGGGGATTTCATACAAGCCTAAGTACTCATTCTTGTGAGGTCGACGGAGTCTTATCACTGAGTAATCGTAGCGGAAATCCCGAGACAGAGTCCAACCCCGCGGGACTTTTACGTAATCGACTCCAATCTGTATCACTTTGCCCTGATGCCGCAATATGAACACTTTCAGCTCCTTAGGATCGTCAAAATTCCATTTTAGCCCGCTATGAACACAGTGCGCCGCGGTAAGAACGTGGTACTCGGAAATGAGAGTTCCTGTGCAGCCCGTAGAGATCCTCACCACTGCAGAATAGGGAAGCCGCTTGGATTCCTCAAGAGTGACTTCTTTTCGATCGTCTGAACCAAACACGTACCTTCTTCGCCGATGACGCCCGGTGTTGTGGTGATCATTGTACAAGTGGAATTCACCTGGGTGCAAGTTTGGGTCTTCAAGTTCGAGTTCTGAAAGCTTGCTCCATACATCGTGCGTTGCGTTTATTGTACCGTTGGCGAGTTTTTCCAGGTCCACAAGTGTGAGCGTGAGGCTGCCGTTGGACCAAAACGTTTCATAGTTAAGTCGCGACAGGTTGTCTTGCCGCGTGTCATTAAGCAATTCTTCGATGTGCACCTCTGCAAAGTAGTTGTTCGGTGTGAAGTTGCCGGTATGATTTGATTTATCCAGTGGAGTAGTTAGAACGTCTTTGATGTAGAAATTAAGAGGTGGGAAATCGTCCTCGGTGATGTCCTCTGCTGTTTTCCCAGCTGTACTCGGCGTCAAATTCTGATCGCTACTGTTTACCAAGGAATTAGCAAATCCTATAGGTGTACCATGCGACAGGCAAACAAAGGCAGAAAACTGAAAAGCCCAGGATACCAGACTCGTCACAGCAATAATTTCGACCAAACCCATAATTGTTGATATCTCTTATTGTGGAGACGTTGCTCTCAATGAGTTCTTGCTGTGAGGCGCGATATTTTGTTAGCACTGGGCGAGGAAAATCTGCGAATGAAAGAACAAGGAAGTAATTTCCACTGCGGCAAAACGTAAAGATAAACCCACGTAAAACCGCAACATTTACAAGTACCACCTTNACAAAATTGCCCAAAATTGCCTCACAGTCATGCTGGGCTACAAGGTAACGCAAAATGCGAAAAGTTAACCGCGGTAAACGGCTATTGTGATATCTAGACTAATTCAAAACCTAGAACTCAAACTTTGTTAAGTAAAACTAAACTTTAAACTGACTGTAAGGGTGTTTAAGGTAGTATTTTTCCTCATAGACGAAACACTTCCGAGGCTAATGTGTCCAGACGTCCCAAGTTTCATGTAATTCTGGTACGTTTAAACTTTATACTGGCATGGTCTCACAACATTCATCAATCATTATTTACATGGGCAATCATAAAATATTACACCACAAGTAAATCTACATTGTACTTCCTTTAAACATTTCTCCATTTGTGATGTCGACAATCACAGAAAATGCCACCGGTGTTATTCAAACCCCAAGTTACAAAATAGTGTCACTTCAGGGGCGTAGCTAGGAGTTATGGGGGGAGGCGGGTCCTGGGGTGCCCGTGACCCCCCTTTTGTAAGCCTTTTTTAAGTAAACAATTTACAACAGGTGGCGAAAACGACATGACAATCTGGTGATTACCCTCATTTTGACACAGCGTGAGGCCCCCCCCCCCCTTTTAAAAAATCCTGGCTACGCCCGTGTGCACTTAATCATTATTTTACAATTTCTCAAAGCAAGCAGAACAGTGCTCTGATGTACACAATGTTAAAAGTAGCTCCCCTTCGTTCCCCGACCACTTGACCAAAACGAGAAGCTGTTTTCACTCTGTGAAATTCTAACGCAGTTGAATTCCGAAATCCCTACAAAAGTTTAATATCATGTTTTAAAAAATCTATCTGCTATGAACCTACTCCTGCACGTTTTCAAAGTAAAATATAACTGTATATAAACGGTCTCAAAGTGAAAAGCCAAACTATACACATATTCACACGTTCCGACAAAAAATTGCTTGCCTAATACCGAAGCTTTGAGATGAAGTAGGCCTTGCAGGTTCCCTTAAACTTCAAAGCAGTTTTGTAAATCATGACATAATAATATCATGATGACATGACTATTGAGAAGGAAAACTAGTCTCTGCAAAAAGTTACCCTTAAAAACGATCCGATCTTTGCTCTTTTTTTTGTTTTCTTTTTAAAACACCTAAGCTTTGAAGTAAAGTAAGTCTAATAAAGTTTTCCTTCAAATTGAAAGCCGTCTTGTGTATCATGACACATAATATGGTGACATGACTGTGTAAAAGGAAAATAATTTGTACAAAACGTTACTTGTTAGGGTAACGACGTGACGGGTAACGCGTGACAGGAGTATCTGTTTTATTATTATTTGGATAGCTAGAGTAACACTCACGTTAGCCTAAATAGCGCTCTGGTTTGACTAAACAGCGTTTCGGTAAGCCTAAAAAGTGCTACTAATTACAAATAACAAAGACTCGACCTTAGCTCTCAGTATTACTCCGTTACCCATTATGTGTTTTACTAAGAACACAAAAATTCTACTCTATCTGATAGTTCATATGTCAAGGTAGATAAAAGTACTGCTGACTCTGTCTGCCATTTATTTGTGTATTTTCCATTCCCAGGAGAGAAAGGAAAACAGTCACGTGTCAACCTGGTACCTCCATGAGAAAATAACGTCGGCTGCAGATCTTGTTGAGGATGGCATTTCTGGGAAGAAAAAAGGAATGTACATTAAAAGCCTGTTTCAACAAGACTTATTGAAAGGGTGTGGTTGTATCAGTGTAAACATTAGATTAATATATGCCAAGTTTTAGGTGGCCTACTGTTGTTCAGGGGCACTGAACAAACTTTAATTTGGGTCTTTAAAGTGATCGCTTTAATAGTTTGGTTATATAATTTTATGGAAATCGGTTTAACTGGGAAAAATAGTATAAGAGTTTAAATTGACACTGATTTTGGGATAAAATCGCAGTCAGTCAGCCATGTTACTGATATCTACGTATTTTTTGTTAAATTTCTCGAATCAGTTTACATTGCCTTACATGTATATACCCTAACNGGGACTGTCATGACATAATAATATCATGATGACATGACTATTGAGAAGGAAAACTAGTCTGTACAAAAAGTTACTCTTAAAAACGATCCGGTCTTTGCTTTTCGTTGTTGTTGTTTTCATAACACCTAAGCTTTGAAGTGAAGTAAGTCTAATGAAGGTTTCCTTCAAATTGAAAGCCGTCTTGTGTATCATGACACATAATGACTATTTAAAAGGAAACCAACTAATCTTGTTACTTGTTAGGGTAACGACGTAACGGGTAACGCGTGACAGGAGTATCTTTACTATTATTATTATTTCGATAGCTAGAGTAGCACTCCCGTTAGCCTAAATAGCGCTCTGGTTTGACTAAACAGCGTTTCGGTAAGCCTAAAAAGTGCTACTAAATAACACAGACTCGACCTTAGCTCTCAATATTACGCTGACTGTGTCTGTTATTCCTTTGTGTAGTTCCCATTCCCAGGAGAGAAAGGAAAACAGTCACGTGTCAATCGGGTACCTCTCTGAACCATCCACATTTTCATCTCTGTATAACGAACCGTTTGAAGGGGAACGTAACCTAGCGTAACCTCCAGATCTTGTTGAGGATGGCATTTCTGGGAATAAAAAAGAAACGTACTTTTAAAGCCTGTTTGAACAAGACTTATTGGACGGGTATGGTTGTATCAGTGTAAACATTAGATTAATATGTACTAAGTTTCAGGCGGCTTACTGTTGTTCAGGGGTACTGGTATATGGCCAACTTTAATCTGGGTCATAACGGATATACTCTTTCTTTGGTTATAATTTCGTGAAATTCAGTTTAACTGAGAAAAATAGTAGTAGAGTTTAAGTTGACACTGCTTTTGGGATAAAATCGCAGTCAGTCAGCAATGTTACTGATATCTATGTTTTTTTGTGTGTGTGAAATTTCTGGAGTCAGTTTATTTGTCTTACATGTATATAGCCTAACCAAGGTTTAGCAGAATCAGCGTGGCTTTCATAGCATAGTTCCTTTCGTATTTTCTTGGCGTTACCTTTTACCTCATGGATGCTTTACATCCTACACTTAATGGATTAAGNAGAATTTTCCAGCAATATATATTTATACAGTCATCTCAGTCAGTTGAACTGCATGTTCAAGCGGAGTACGTGGTGTCTTAAATACAACTTTTTTGCCATTTATTTTGACCGGGTTAAATTCAGTTAAATAAGCTAATATTCCACTACACGATGCCCTGGTCAATTCGAAAGCTACACACCGCCTTCGTGGAAAAAAACGGCCCATTAATATAGATTGGTTTTGCCTAAATACTGCGTTGTGAATTGTGAAATGAAATAAAACGTCGCTTTTGCCTTAATTGATATCTTCAATATTCGACCATTCTTAGCTGAGTGACCTAGCCATGTCAAAAAGAACTGTCTTCTAGTAAATATTAGAAATTAGAAAATGCCAACATACTAGTACATTAATTCAAATGCTGCAATGTGATTGGCTGAGCTGCCTTATATTGTCATCTATTGTAATCCATCAAATAAGTTCGCTCGCACGCGATTGGTTTAAATGCGTCACGTGGTTGAATATGCCTCGTGTTGTGAAAAACATTGGAGGGATAATAAACAAAATAGTTCCCAACTGGCTTACAGTATATGCTCGGATGTTTATCCTTGAACATTATCTGTCCCTCGAAGCTTACACTTCGCTCTCGGAACACTGTTCGCTTCTCGGAATAGATAACGTTCGCCTTGCATACGGTCGGTGCGCCAACTAAAATTTGAATTGATCAATCGGGATTCAGCCGGCAGGAAAAACTGAGCTGTCCTGATGTCATATGCATGTTAGCGGGAAAAACACTGAAGTCGGGCGACTTTTCTTGCTGGAGAGAGTGTTCTAAAATATTCACGAAAAGGGATTTATAATTTTAAAACCAAATTAGATCGTAAAAAGTGAAAAATTGGAAACATTTTGTTTCTCCAAGCTTTTAATTTGGCGTCAAAAATTGGTCGCCCGCGCTCGGAACTCGCTCTCCGATCGCTGTCGCCAGGCAGCTTAAACCCAGAATTCTCAAGTTAAACATTAGAAGAGGCCAAATCAACTTTATTTTTTATTTCTTTATTTTTTGTTAGCTGCGAAGAAAAAGACTATTATCCCGTCGTTTCGGTGGGACAGCTTGGTTTTGGCTGTCCGCAGCCCCCGCACGCAAGGCGAGGACAAATATCCGAGCATACTTTGGCGCCAAATGGAGGCTACTATTTATTTAGCAGTCGTCTACAAAATGGCGACGTCCGCACGCGCGGGGAAGAAAACTAATCGGAAATCATTATTCGAAAGAAATTTAGTTAGAATTCTACTAAAGCAAGTAGATCATTCGCTTTCTAATTTTTAAATAGCGAAGATAGGTGGTTTCTGAATGTGGAGACAAGATTGAATTCGAAAGGCGACATGGCTGGAGTGAAAGGTCATTAAATATGACAGCTTTGATATAGAGTTTCTTGACGTAAATGCTACGATCTAAAATTATTTTGTTAGATAGGTCACATGACCAACAGCTCCGCAGTCTCGGCCATTACGTCGCCGCATTATTCCATATTAGCTGAGTTTTTGGGGTTGTGGGGGGCGTGGCAGATTTTGCTTTCGAGTTGATCGGAGCCTCCTATGGACTCAAGTCATTCGGGTGAACGGGCATCTTAGCGACGGCTTCATGCGTGTAAGCGCTTCAGGATTTGCTTGGAGGTGAATCCATCCAAGCGCGAATCTGGGCCAACTTTAGTGGCGTGATCTTCGTGGCGACGTTCATGCGACGTTTCTTTTGTCGCCCGCGGTACTTTACGCGCAACGAGCCAGAGAACACTCCCATGACGAATCGTTCCGCTTTGTCCCCTTTACCTTTTTTGCCAAAGACCCCCGCTCCAGAACTACCGTAGAACGAATCACAGCGGTTCAGAATGGCGTGATTGACGCAAAAAGAATTGCAGTAAGAATACCAGACGGTGTTCAAGCGTTTGTCAGCAGGAAACGAAGCAAACTGGATCTTCAATTCAAATGAGAATTTCGCGGGGATTTCATACAAGCCTAAGTACTCATTCTTGTGAGGTCGACGGAGTCTTATCACTGAGTAATCGTAGCGGAAATCCCGAGACAGAGTCCAACCCCGCGGGACTTTTACGTAATCGACTCCAATCTGTATCACTTTGCCCTGATGCCGCAATATGAACACTTTCAGCTCCTTAGGATCGTCAAAATTCCATTTTAGCCCGCTATGAACACAGTGCGCCGCGGTAAGAACGTGGTACTCGGAAATGAGAGTTCCTGTGCAGCCCGTAGAGATCCTCACCACTGCAGAATAGGGAAGCCGCTTGGATTCCTCAAGAGTGACTTCTTTTCGATCGTCTGAACCAAACACGTACCTTCTTCGCCGATGACGCCCGGTGTTGTGGTGATCATTGTACAAGTGGAATTCACCTGGGTGCAAGTTTGGGTCTTCAAGTTCGAGTTCTGAAAGCTTGCTCCATACATCGTGCGTTGCGTTTATTGTACCGTTGGCGAGTTTTTCCAGGTCCACAAGTGTGAGCGTGAGGCTGCCGTTGGACCAAAACGTTTCATAGTTAAGTCGCGACAGGTTGTCTTGCCGCGTGTCATTAAGCAATTCTTCGATGTGCACCTCTGCAAAGTAGTTGTTCGGTGTGAAGTTGCCGGTATGATTTGATTTATCCAGTGGAGTAGTTAGAACGTCTTTGATGTAGAAATTAAGAGGTGGGAAATCGTCCTCGGTGATGTCCTCTGCTGTTTTCCCAGCTGTACTCGGCGTCAAATTCTGATCGCTACTGTTTACCAAGGAATTAGCAAATCCTATAGGTGTACCATGCGACAGGCAAACAAAGGCAGAAAACTGAAAAGCCCAGGATACCAGACTCGTCACAGCAATAATTTCGACCAAACCCATAATTGTTGATATCTCTTATTGTGGAGACGTTGCTCTCAATGAGTTCTTGCTGTGAGGCGCGATATTTTGTTAGCACTGGGCGAGGAAAATCTGCGAATGAAAGAACAAGGAAGTAATTTCCACTGCGGCAAAACGTAAAGATATACCCACGTAAAACCGCAACATTTACAAGTACCACCTTTACGATATTTAAACTAACTAATAGCGTCAGTTGTTCACCTGTTAACCTCTACTATTGATTTCGAAAACGTGACTTTCTCAGTTCTTTCTTTCGCCTTGTTACGGTAGCACTTGTGTCATTTTGGACTTACTTTTAACTGCCAAATTTTTGTCTTTTATCCAAATTGGAACACCTTTCCATTTGCAAGTTCCTGTAATTAACAGAAGGTCTATCGGTTTTCCTAATTGTAATGGTTAACGGCGTTACAAGTAGGTGTGTATAAATAGATCTCGATATGTAAGGAAGTTTTTAATCAACTTATCGTACGCGTGTATCTCATGTGCGTATTCATTAAATTATTAAAGCGGACTTTCCGCCCTTCAAAAAATAACTACATTACAAAAATTGACGAACTTGACACCTTAAAACTGTACTGCAAGTGTTGTTTGTCGAATTTGTAACCCTTTTGGAATTATGTAGCATTGATATCGTACACAAAAATAAATGTTGTGAGTGAACGGACTCATAATTTATTCATTTTCAGTGTTTATTTTTAGACGTTCCGTATATTGTTAGCGCAGCCCTTTGATCACGCTTTTCACCTGCAGTACAATACTTTGAACAACACTTTGATTACACGACTTAGTGATTTCAGCTAAAAATAAAACTGCTTATTTCTCACAGTTGTCTTTCGGTTTACAAAATATGTACAAGTTATGTAACGCTTTCGAGTGGTATGTAGCGATATTTTATTTTATACCTTGGAATATCTTACTTGTCACTTGTATTTTCTTGGAATACACACTCGCCTTTTTAGCAAAAATACAAGCAATGAGCAACATGTTCAAGCGTATTATGTGTTCAACCATCAAGTAAAGGATTTATTATTTATTATTCCACTAGTATTATTCCACTTGTATTTCGGCTTCTAGTTTTTGAAATACATCCTTCATCATCCGATAATCATCGATCGCACGTGAGGCGGTTGCGAATGACGAAAACAAACTCCACAGTACAAAATGGGCGGGGCTGATATTTTGCGCGTTGTCTTGACCTAATATGGTGAAATGGCATAATAGTGGAGTACTAAATGGTAATAATGGTACATGCAACAGATTGAAAACTTTACGGTAAGCTTTCTCTGTGTTTGTTCAGATTCGCTTGTTTTGCATTTCGTCATTTGAACCTTTCTTTCGGACCTTTCCATGTTGAGAAAAATGATGTTTCTCCGTAACAATGTTTCCTCGGGAAGAAATACGTGCTATATTAATTAAATATTTGTTAGACGCAAAGCAAATTTAAAATTAAGCTATTTCGTCTGATAAACGTACTGACGAGATCGAAAAGAAAAACGTCGTTGTTAGTGTAGGAATGAACGCAGGGCTATTCTTTTTGAATGCCTTTTGATTATGAGCTAGACCTAACAGAGTCAATTTTTCACATTTTATAGCTGCAATGTTTTCTANCGTTGTTAGTGTAGGAATGAACGCAGGGCTATTCTTTTTGAATGCCTTTTGATTATGAGCTAGACCTAACAGAGTCCGATTTTCTCATTTTATAGCTGCAATGTTTTCTAATTTCAAAACTATCAGCCACTTATGCTAAAACCATCAGGGTGCAAAGACAAAAACAAAAACAACAAAATTTAAAATGTTTACTAGATCGCTAGGCCAGCGTTACGTTAGACAAACACGTTCTAACTTTCACCAGGTGTCGCCACGGCTGCAACGCCGGTGAGTTTTTGATTTGATGCAGGGATTGCGCTTATATCGTGGAGGTTCTGGCAGTTCGCAAATCCACCAGGAAACGAACGAGTGACAGAGCACAATGGACAAGTAATTTTCGAACTAATCTGTTAATGTAGTTATAGCCTGCCAACAAATTTTCCACGAAACGTCGAACTGAAGTCGGCTTGCATTTTATAGCCATCTTTTGGGCTACATTATATCATTTTCGAGATTATAATTTTACAGATGGAAGTTAATTCGTTCAACTCAACAGCGCTAGCAAGAATCCGCGGTGGGATTCTGTCGCCAAGCTTCAGCAATTTTACATGCCGTTGAGTGTTGGAGCGATTTTTAAAATTCTTTTTGTACTGACGCAATCGCAATTAGTTAGAAATAAACCTATTACTTTATCAATAAAATAAAGTGAGAAGTTGTAGGTATGAAAGAGAATGCAAATGTTAAAATGTAAACTAAGCAGCTTATTGTCTGTAAATAGTGTGCTGTGAGATGTTTAATGACCTGTTAAGTAATGTATTGAAAGTAATGATGGAAGTAGCATATTTTTAGTAATAATCAAATGTAAAAGCAAAAAGAAAGAAATAGACGTTATCTGAATATTCGCCACTTCTTCAAAGGTTGCGATTCCGTCTGCCTATGCTGTCTGCCCTTGCAACGCGTACATTCATTCAGCACTGGTGAAATTTAATCGTTCGCATCGATGGAGTGAATGTTTTTCCGCGGTAAAATTTTCAGTATCGTTCGCGTTTTTTATTATTTAAGCTTTGACTCAGAGCACTTTCTCTTTCCTACGATTTTCGTGTGTAAATCCCAGTATACGCATGAAATAAAAATTTCCTCCTTCTCTCGCTTCGCGTGACTTTCTCTGCTTCATGTTGTCGGCAGTTGCGACCTACCAAGAAGATATCTAGCAAGAGTCCTGCTGAATCACGACCTGGCCGGAGGCTATCGTACTAGAACGCATGATTATCTCATCATTCGCAATTAATCGCGGAGGCGTTTTACAGTCTTCCCTGATTGATCATACCCGGATAAATTCGCACTGAGCAACGTACCAGAACAAGACAACGAGTCCGCTCCTCTTGAACCACTTTATTTATCTCGACAAAGAAGAAACTAGAAGGAAGGTAGAATCAATATCAACTTGAACGCCGTAAAATTCCACCAAACATCGAAGGAAGATTAAGAGTAAATCTCGTAACACTTTATATAATGTTAAATAACTTTTCCAAACTGACTTGCTTTTCGAACCAGATTTTTCGCCGCAAAGACTTCCTATTTACGGTGACATCTTCGTCGATATAATATTAGACCAAGATAAGGTTCAGAATCAACAAAACACAAATTTTGATAACAGTGACTTTAGTGCCAAGCAGCCATGCTGAACAACGTTCAAAACAAACTGAATTCGACAAACAAGCAGTTTGTATTCAGTCTCCAAAAAACATTCTAATACCGTGACTAACCAAACAAGGTAAACTTTGGTATTTAAAATGTGATAATGAAGAGCTCGGTTTGACTTGATAGACGCCACTGACAGCACAACATACCTTTCCTACTCTGGACTGGAGTGTTTGACAAGCAAATGGAGGTAAGAATCTCTTTGAGTCCCTTTGATCTTTCCCTGCGTCAAAGATACAGCATACGTCGACAATTAAACAGTGTAATAGTCAACAATTTAGTAGTTTACGTTATCAACAACAGCGGGGTTCAAAGCCGTTATGATCACAATTTAGGGGGTAGGTCATCCTATTCACAAAGGACGCAGCCAGGCGTTTTTACACTGAATAAAACACCAATGCGGTTGGCAATTAGTCCCACATTTCCGGTCAGAGACAGGCCGAACTTGCTCGGGCTTGCTTGTTAGAAAACAGAACAATCGCGATTTCACTACGTAACTGAGTGAAGTGTTACACCGAACATTTCAAGTGA